ATATTTGAACTGTTTGCTTCACCTGTTGGTTTGTTTTTTTTTTCTTGAGTTTCTTTGAGAGGCTTATTTATTTTTTCCAATTTTTTGTTTGTCTTTTCCTCCATTTCTTTATGGAAATTTTTCATTTCTTCTTTAAAGGTCTCTATCATCCTCATAAAGTTACATTTAAAATCGTTTTTTTTTTCCCCTGCTTTTTCTGCATTAGGATGATCAGGTTTCTTTGATGTATGACCACTGGGTTCTAGTGTTACCATGTTGCTTTTTAGGTTGTTGAATGAATTCTTGCATTGGCGCCTACCCATCTCTTCCTCCAATTGGTGCTGGCAGTGCCTTTGCCTTTGGTTCAATTCTTGCAGTTGCTGTCTGTGTCTTTGGGAACTGTTCTTGGTCTGCCCTCTATTGTTGCTGTCTGTGTCTCAGGGATTTGCTGAGGTATCTTTTGGCCAGCTCCCTTAGTCCACTCTCTTGGTTTTTTCTCTTGGTTCACTCTATTGGTCCACTCTGTGCAGTCATAGCTTGTGCTTCAGAGTTGCTCTCTTGGGCCTCTCTGTATAGTTGCAGCCTTCAGAATGCTTCAGAGTTCATTTGAGGTCATGGGGGACAGAAGGGTTTTGGCTCCCTGGATATTTTATTCATAAAATTTTTTTTCCAGGAAGTCTTCTAGTGTCCTGTTTTCATTGACTGTGAAATGACTACCTTCCATTTTGTTTATGTATTTATTACTGGGGATCTTTAAGATTCGGCATTGCTTATCTTGTTTAAGGGCATATTCTCAATATATCCCATGACAATATTTGCAAGAGTAATTAAACTAACAGACTATTATTTTTTAAAAACTGCTTTTATTTATGCTTTCATGTGGGAAAGGTTTATTTTTATTAAAAATAAAGTGCCTAAGAAGCTGTCAGTTGTTAGTCACTGGATGTTCTCAAGCAATCTGGATGATTGTCTTGATGGGAATGTCCTAGATGAAACTGCAGTGTCATTATCTGGGTAGATTCTAATTAAAGTACTTTCTGTCCCAGTGTCACATGCACTCAAGATACAATCCATTGTAAATTTTCATGGCATTTCTGTAGGAAGCATGACCACACCATAGGAGCTGTAGGTCTCCACACTGGTGTATGCAAAATGTTTATTCTTTGTTCAGAACCACACAATATACACATTTGATCCTATTTAATTCTGTTAACAGTGGTTTGAGATTTCCATTCATATTGTCCCCATTTGATAGGAAAGGAGACTGAAGTTTAGAAAGGGTCTTAACTGTCCCATTGCTGCATTAGTACAGTGGAGACAGAATTAAAGCTCTGTGGTCTCTTAGATTTCTGAATTATTGAACCTTGCTGATGACCAGATATCATTAAAAACAATCAAAATAACATGACTAGGGTTAATTCGGTTTTTATAAGGGATATCAATCAAAGAACACAATGCTTCTTATTATTTCTTTGACATCTGAGGCAACCACTGGAAGTAGCTGGGGGACAGAGCTTTCCACAAGGGATGACAAATGCCACCACACTCACAATGCATGTGCCTCTGCTGAACCTTTGCATTTTGTTGTATTCTATTTTTTACTGACTTTGCTACGGTTCCCTTCCTACCACTGTGGTCAGCTTCTCTATGAGTGGATTTTTCTCCTGCTTTGCCTTTAGCTTCTGTCTCCTGGTCTCTGCATGTTCCCATGGGAACTATAGGCAACCAAAGAATGCTGAAAGCAGGAGAAATAGTCTTCCCTAGGGAAGAGCACACCAATTGGTTATCTGATACCAAATGGTCAACCCTGAAAACATATATACAAGTAACATAATGGAGGTGGTGAAGGTTTGTATATAAATACATATCATGATATTATAATCGATTTAAATATTATATTATATATTATAAAATATATATAAAATATAAAAATATATAAAATTGTTACATATATATGTAACAATTACTAAAACAGAGTATGGATTTGACAAACAAACATGGAGTGATATATTGGAGAGTTTGGAGAGCAGAAAGGGAAGATAGAAATGATATATTTATATAATCTCAAAAATAAATTAAAATTTTTTTAAATGTATTTAATTTGCTTGTTATTCCCAGAGATGGATTTAAGGTAGACCTTATAAAGATATTGGCTAATCAAGTGTTAGCATTACTGAGTGTTTCCTACTTTGTGTGTACGATGTTGCATCTCCATCATTCATGTGAGAAAATGGAGGCAGGAAGAGGCCAGGCCAGGTCATGGGCAGCTGTGAGGGACAAAGTGGAACTTGGAGCTCAAAGCCTGTATGATTAGCCACTTGCAGCTATGTGTTCTGGAGCTACGCACATGGCGAAGAGTTTGTCATTTATAGTGGATGATGTCTTCTTTATCGTCAGTGAGGTGCCACTGTTTTATAATTTAGGATTTCAGTGTAAGCAACATTTCTACTGCTAACTAGAGGAGGGTGCCTGATTGCAGCAGTGAGGCTCTTGGCTCAGTATGTTGAGAATTAACAGGTATATAGAAGTGGGTGGTGTGCTTGCAAATGTTAATTGTTTTAAAAAGCAAATGCTTTTCTATCCTCAAAGAGTTAGTTGAATTGATAATATAATGAGTATTTGTTGTTACTGATATGATCAAGTGCATTCATAAGATTGTCATCCTAAAATGTTCACCATCACTACACTGTCATGAGGAATGGTTACTTTTCAAATGATAGCAGATATTGGTGAGGATATGGAGGAAAGTGAACTCATACCCCATGAGTGAGAGTGAAAAATAGTTTATTCATCATGGAAAATCATATGGTATTCCTCAAAACACCTCACCATATCTGAGCACATACCAATGAGGGAATTGGTGTGTGAAGGCTATCTGCACTTCCATGGCTTTGGCAGCAATATTTACATTTGCAAGATATGAAATCAGCTTAAGTGCCTCTGAGTGGGTAAGAAAAAGTAGTCCTAAAAATAATGAAATCTCATCATTTAATGAATCTGGAATATAGTACAGTATATGCAATAAATTCAGGTGTAAAAAGATAACTCACATATGTTTGCTCTCAAAAGTCGAAGCTAAAACTGTTGACCCCTTAGAAGTATAAAGTAAAGAAAAGGTTACCAGAGAATGAGAGTGGATGGGGAAGGCAGAATGAAGAGAAGTTGTTGGTAGGTAGAATAACAGAGCTAAATAAGGATAAATTTTAATACTCTAAACCACAGTGATTGATTTGTTAACACTTTATGGTGTGTTTTAAAACCACTAGAATAAATGACTGTGTTCCTACCACAGAGAACTGATAAATGTTCTATGTGGTTAGTATGCTAGTTACTCACATTGCCTTCTTAACATTCATCAAAAAAGACATTATACCAAAAATTCATAAATTTGTTATAATATCAATTAAAACTAAATGTAAAAAGGAGTCAGTCTTCTGTTTGTGACTCTGGATAACTAACTTGATTATTTTTCCTCTTCTTCCTTCTTATTGGCTTTTAAATTTTTATCAATTCTTTGACATTTTTATACATGTACACAATAATCATATCCACCCCTCTCTCACTCTCTATCTCCCTATAAGATCATCGCATCTTCCTCCCAACTTCCTCCCTTTCTAGTCTTTTATTTGTTTTTAATCCACTGAATCTAATGAGTGCTGCCGTATGTGTGTGCATGGGTGTGGGATCGTCCACTGGAGCGTGAGAAACTTCCAGTGCTACCACTCTAGAGAAGACTGATGCTCTCTTTAACGGAAGCCCCCCGTCCCTAATAGCTTCTCTGCGAAGCATGAGTGCCAATGAGCACCATTCTATACTGGAACTTTAGAAAATTAAAACGTAATTTAATCACTTTCCCTCTTCCCTTTCCCCCTCTAGCTAGCCTTTCCTTTGCCCACTTATTCCCTCTCTCAAATTGATGTTTTTTTCTTTGATTTTATATACATATGTGTGTGTGTGTGTGTGTGTGTGTGCATACAACCTTCTGTGTCTATTTTTTTATTATTATTTTCAAGAAAAGATTTCTCTGTAGTTTTTAGTACCTGTCCTGGAACTACCTCTTGTAGACCAGGCTGGCCTCGAACTCACAGAGATCCGCATGCCTCTGCCTCCTGAGTGCTGGGATTAAAGGCGTGTACCACCACTGCCCGGATACTCTGTGTCTGTTTTTATTGCTTGTGTGTATATGATTTCGGGATGGAATAAGCACTTTGTATTGGATAACCAGTTATGGAGCTCATCCTTTGAAGAGGTCAGTTCTCCCTCTCTCAGCAGTCATTAGCTGCCTACAGTTCTTTGTCTCGACTGGCATACCTTGAAATTTCATCCTCCTAACTTATATTATGGAATTTTTACTGGCTTGATCTTGTGTAAGGTAATAACAGCTACTGTGAGTTCATGTGTACACCAGCCCGGTCATTGCCAGAAGACAGAATTTCACAACAATCCTTCCCATTTTTTCGTTCTTTCTGTCCCTCCCCTGTGATTCTCCCTGACCCTTAAGGGGGTGGTGGAGGGAGTGATGTGGCATAGTTTTCTTCCTATGGCTGACTGCTCAGTCACTGTTTTCAGCACTTTGCAGTCCTTGGCTCCACATTAACCACCACCTACTGCCATTCAGAGGCTTCTCTGGCCACGGCTGAGAACAACACGACTCTGTGGATGCGAACATAAATATTTAGAAGGCATGGTCATTTAGTAAAACAACATCATTTTCCCCCATGGCCTACAAATTTCTTAGACATTACTTTGGACCATATTAGAAGCATCACTTCTTCCCTCCTTCTTCCTTTTCCCCCAGCCCGGGTTTCCCATTCCCTCTTAAACCTTAATTTCCAGTGTTCAAGCCCCGTCCTTTCCTATTACATATGCTCTGCTATCTCCTGTTGTTTGCTACACTTCTTACTTGGAATGTCTGGTTGTATTTTATAGAGAGAATAGAACCTATGTGTCTGCTCCATCTCTCTGGAGAAGCAGCTTATGTAGTCATTGCTGAGATTTACCTGTGGCTCTTCTCTGTGAAGGTACCTGGAACTGGAAAGCAGTGGCCATCGAAATGAGATCAGACTGCATTACCGCTCCGGCACTCACCGTCCTCACACAGAAGTCTTTCCTTATATTTTGGCTGATGCCAAGTGGCACAAGCTCTCCTTAGCCATCAGTGCCTCTCATTTGATTTTACACGTCGACTGTAATAAGTAAGCGAATCATTCTCATTTCAAGAATTGGAAGACTCAGAGTGATTCCTGTGTGCTCATGGCCATTCTCCGATATTCTATCTTCCAGAATCTATGAACGAGTGGTGGAAATGCCTTCTACAGACTTGCCTCTGGGTACCACGTTTTGGTTGGGACAGCGAAATAATGCACATGGATATTTTAAGGTATCGTTTAGCTTGAGTCTGAGCATGAATTTAAAATGGAAATACTGTCTAATGAGTTTACAAAAGTTCATTTCACCTTCTATGGCATGAAACAAAAATCCTGGTTGTGCCTTTTTACTTTATGCATTTCTATTTGCTTTCTAGTTCTGCTTTTTAGAGCATTTAATGATGTATTTATTTTTATTTATGTTTATATGAGAATGTTGGATACCTTGTAGTTATAGATGGTTTTGAGCTACCCCATATAGGTCTGGGGAACTGAACCTGAGCCCTTTGGAAGAGCAGACAGTGCTCTCAACCACTGAATCGTCTCTCCAGCTCCATCTTAGACCAATTTTAAACTGGTAAAAATAACCCCCACTCACATTTTAATCTTTCTATATTACAGAAATGGCAATCAGGCCATAATTAGTAATCAATATGACATTCTTGAGATTAAGAATTCAAAATTGTAAAAATAGAAAATGTTAACATAGAAACATCCCACCCGTGAGATGTCACCCATGATGATGCTTTTACAGAGTCATTAGTAACCCGGGGTTGGAAAAATGAGTCATGGTTTCCTCATGCACCAATCCCTTAAAACAGAAAGCCATTATAATTTATCTCTAGTGAAAACTTGGAAGCAGTCAGAATTTCTTCACTAGAGAGGATCAGATGCTGTCCCAGCTGAATATCTGCAAATCTTGAGGCTGAATAAATAGAGGCTAGATAAATGTTTACCAGCGGCTGCTCATTGTGTGAACATTTCCCCAGTACTGTGACCATTGGGAAGTCAGAGAATGTGCGGGATGTCCCACCTGTGGACTTATGGAGTGAGGAGACACCAGTCAATTCAAACTTCTGAGCCCAGTATGTAATGTTAGAGTTAATTAAATTATATTAACAGAGTTAATATTAAGAAAACTTAATATTACCTGTTCTCTGGAAACCAGATGGTGTGACTATACTATTTTATTTAATCCCGCACTTTGAAAATGTTGGTGAGGGTCTTTTCTCCTTCTCACACATATGCATCAACCTACCCAGAGAGGTGAAGTAACCTGCCCAAAGCCAGCAGCTAGTAGGTGACAGATGTAGGGAATTGATTCCACTCTTTAAAGCCCCAAAAATCAATGCCCCTTTCCCATGCGAGGGATGACAGATGCATGCTGCGGGTTCCAAATCTCTCTCTATTTAATTATGGCCGTCTTGGAGTCAGTTGTGGCCTCACAGTCCCCACACATGAATTATTTGTATGGCTATGTGACTTGCCGTCTTTATTGTGGTCTGAGAACAGTGCCCGTTAGGTGTGCAGCGCAGAGCTGCATGGCGCACACACCAGCCTGATTTCCATGGGGCTTCCATCAAGTCATAGCTACACCCAAGCTACTCCTGAAATCCGAGATCAAGAAACAGACCTAGTAATTGCCGCACTGGGTACTGAAACAGTTGTCACTCACGTTGCCACTTGCTGCTAATCACAGTAAATATGCTGCTCAGGTGGTGAGTCTTTATAAGGACACTATGCTCTTCTGAGCATATCGGTTACAGTCACCCATCTCTAGACTTTCTGCTTTGCGTTCTTCAAGAGGATCACATTAAACACAATGAAAGTACATGAAGCTCATAGGAGATGGGGTGGTGGGAAAGAGGGAAGGCTGGAGTACCTTAAATAAGGTTGTTTTTATTACCACTGGCCTTGCTTTGAGTCCATCCAGCTAGCAGCTTAGGCTAGGGGTGCTTTAAATGTACAGACTTCTGTGTAAAGTGGGTCGCTTGCCGCTGGCATTTAAACAGCTTCATGCTAAACTTCCTGCGTTCCTAAGCACCCTAAAAAAAGCCTTGCTTTACCTGCTTACTAAGTCCATCATCCTTTCTGAATCCGGAGATCAACTTTAAAAAGAAACTCAGTAAAAAAAAAAATGAGAAATGTTTAAATGGGCATAGTTTTCAAGACTCAGTTTACCTACCCTTTTCCTTTTGATCATTGTTAATACAAAACTGGTCTCCGGTCTATGGTGATAAAGCCCAACATGATTTTTATGTTGATTCTTAAAGGTCACGTTGAAGCCCTGCTTCTGTGGTGAACTAAAAATAACTTCCCATAGCAATAAGCCTATGACCACATCCTGGAATCTTGACATTTAATCTTTAAAAACATTGTCTAGGAAAACTACCTGGGTAATTCTCTGTTTTGCCTGATGAATCTCCTTCCCTAACATGGGCTGGTCCGGAATAAATCCAGGAAGGTTCTAGATCCAGGGGTTTGGAAGGATCTGTTCCTTAACACTTTTCCTCACGAACTTGACTATTGAGCATAATTTCGGGAAAGGAAAATAATGCTTCTTTTATTTTTTTTTTTTATGCACAGGGAATAATGCAAGATGTGCAGTTACTTGTCATGCCCCAGGGGTTCATTGTGCAGTGCCCGGATCTTAACCGAAGTAAGTCTCTTAGCCCTGCACTCCATGTTGGGATGAAAAGTGGGACTCTCACCTCGTTTTGTTTAGAATGCCAGTTTGAGATTGGAGTTCACACATACGGGCTGTCAGTCCAGATTTAATCAGATCAAACCCCTGATGAACACAGCTTGATCAGTGTCCTCTTTGTAATTGCAGCCTGCCCAACGTGCAATGACTTCCATGGACTTGTGCAGAAAATCATGGAGCTGCAGGATATTTTATCCAAGACCTCAGCCAAGGTAAAAACGACTCAGAAATACACCAAGAATGCTCCGCAGTCATGTGACTCCAAATAGCTCCTGTATCACCATAGATTTTCATCTTTGAGACATTCCTTTTACAATTTACTGGGACTGAATTGAGACTTTTGCTCAAGGAAAAAGGTTATAATGTTTATTAGGGTTTATAAATATTTAAATCCTAGTCATCTGTATAACAAATGACTCAGTAAATCAGATCTGGAGCAGAATACCTGTTTTATACTCTGCTTTACTGCTGCAACGTCTTTCATTGCCTAACTTTATTTCTTCTTATGATAGATTATTGTTATTTATAATTATCTTATACTATTCAGTTATTATTATTATTCATTATAATCAAGGAGGTGTAAAGACAATGTAAAAATATGAACATCAGTTTTGGGACAAGAATATGGGTTATGAAGAATTTTTAGCTGTTATGCTATATTTGTAGGCTCATTCACCAAAGGCTGAAGTACATACCAAGTTAAATGTCATGTTCACCAGATTTCAAATTATGCAAAATATTGAAGGATATTTTTGAATGCTGTGTGTATGTGTGTGTATGCAGTTTGTTATTTATATGCTGTAAATTCTAAATCTTTTCTTGAATAAACCTATTAATGGAATTAAATGCTTTTTAAAAATGAAAAATTCTCCCTTGCCTCGTGGATGGTGTTATTCTCAATTAGCCTCAATTTGTGTCTTGTAAATCATGATTTTTGTTTTAAAGATAACTTTTCATGTGTAAAGTGTTGAGATGCTTCTTTACAAATTTACAGACTTGATATACTTATAATAATACTTTGCGGTGGCTTAATATGTTTATAATAATTGATGGTGGGCCCAGCCCATTGCTATTGCTGTTCACTTAACACAATTCAGTGCTGCTGGATCACCGTGTGTTTCCCAGTGGCTGCAATGGTGAGCCCTGTCTTTGTGCCGTAGCTGTCTCGAGCTGAACAGCGAATGAACAGGCTGGACCAGTGCTATTGTGAGCGAACATGCACCATGAAGGGAACCACCTACCGAGAGTTTGAGTCCTGGACAGATGGCTGTAAGAACTGCACATGCCTGGTATGCCTCCCAATCACATTCACAGGGGACTCAGATGACCGCCCCCCCATTAAATATTTATTAAGACAATGTATTCATGAAAATTTCAAGACCTGTTTTCTCTAAATGCAACACTAAAATGCTAGCAAACCTGGTCACTTCTGAAGAACGGTGTGTTACATTATTAAAGACACTCTGTAGCTGTGGCCGTGGTTTGATTATGGTTTGAGGATGCTATGAAGCTTATCTGGCGTACATGAAGTTAGCAATTTAAATTAGGGTAGCAAGGCTAACCCCAAGGGAGCTTTTCCTATAACCCTTAGCATTTCTGGGGAATTCTGCCCCCCATGTTTTTATTAATGAAATATAAAGAAACTGAATTTTATAGAGTATTAAATACTGCATCTAGACTGAATAATATAAATAATATATTTTGAATAGTCTTTAATAGTTGGCTAATGTAGAATACACACTACACAGTTTAAGTAAGTGTGATTTTATTTAATTCTCAGTAAAAAATTATTTTTATTGCATTATTATTTCAAAACTATATTCATGTTTCAAAGAAAGCTTCAGAACAAGTTTGGTTTTAAACTTTTGAGTTCCACATGAACTCATCTGGAAAAATGCTAGATTTCTGTGAAGGAGTCATAGATCTATTTGAGTCAGCGTCTTGAAATGTTTCCTCCTACTCGTCCAGTTGATTCAAAAACAGACTATCATGCACGTAAAGAAGATCTAAAGAGATCTGTATGTTAGTGTGGTTCTCCGTGTGTGTCTCTCTGTGTGTGTCTGTGTGTGTCTATGTGTGTGTCTGCATGTTTATGTGTGTGTGCATGTGTGTGCATGTGTTTATGTGTGTCTGTGTGTGTGTATCTGTGTGTGTGTATGAAAGAGAAAGAGACAGAGAGAGTATGCCATTGTGTGGATGTGTGTGTACATGTGTGTACCTCTGTACATATGCACATATGTGTGTGCATCTGTGCATGTATGTATGCACACTTGAGAGCATTTGTCTGTGTGTGTGTGTGTGTGTGTGTGTAAACATACATGTGTGCATCTGGGTGGGAGTTTGTCCATGTGTAGTGGGTGTTTATGTGTGCACATATGTGCATCTCTTTGTAATATGGTTTTTACTTAAGATTACAATATAATAAAATTATAATACTGTACAATTATAGTGAAACCTTCCCAAGTGGGGCCAGAAATGTAAGTCAACTTGTAAGGTGTGATTTGGTGAGTTTTATACACTGATTCAAAAAGTCAGAGCAGCTAGATGGGTGATTGGTTTATAAGAAATCCGGAGATAATTATGTATTCCAGGCTAACCCCTAGCTTGCTAGTTCCCTGTGGGCTTGTGTCCTTCTCTATATCCCTACAGAAGGTGCAGATTTACTTAGTAAAGATCAGTTGATGGGCAAAAATGGGAGCCAATGTCAACCGCCAGAATGCAGCCAGCATTACTGTGGGTCACCAAATCATGGGTATTGCTAAAGAACGTGGTGACATTTTATGTGAAGAGCTTGAACTCTATGAAATGCATTTAAAAGCCTTTGAGAAATATTAAATTCCTACATGGAATTTTTTAAAGTGATGTTTGCTTTTCAGAATGGGACCATCCAGTGTGAGACTCTGGTCTGCTCTGCTCCTGACTGTCCTCCTAAATCGGCTCCTGCATACGTGGATGGCAAGTGCTGTAAGGAGTGCAAATGTAAGCAGACCTTTGCTGATCAATACCTTCTTTGAAAAAATACAACTCTGTACGAAAAAAACATTTATTGATCTCTTTAAGATGGACAAGTTAATCACTTCTAGTTATGATATATTTTTCTATTTGGTGATCATTTTTACGTGTTTCTACTCTAGAAGAACATTTTAATTTTTCTTGGAAGACTCTTGCGTATGGTGAAAGAAGCAGTAGAGATACACAAAATATATTTTCCAGGGGGCTTTCTGCCATTTCTGTTGCTTAATATAAATTTCTACCAAGTAAATAAAGAAGTGTGTATGCTCAATTTTCCTCGTACCAAGGAAGTCTGCGACTTAGGTTACTTTGGGCAGCAGGTAAACATGGCTTCATTATTCAGGACAGTAGAATCCACTTGCATGGCGTCACTCTGTGTTACATGTGGGGTGGGATGGAGGCTTGACTTTAATAAAAAACAAAAGAACAACAATAACAAAAACACTTGCAAGACCGTGTGAAGAGGCTTTGCTTCCTTTTCTTCTATTCCATATTTAAGCTCATTTCTGAGGTCTAGAAACGCTTCCAGAATCATTTGTATGCTTAGAAGCATTCTAGGCCATCCACTCAGTCACAGAACTCCATCTACATGACAATTTCTGAAAATACTTCTCTCAAGTCCTCACTAAAAGGAGCACTTTTTGCTATTGTTGTTATTTGTTAGTCCAAAGGAGACACATATATGAACACTGACTTGTTCACTAATGCGTGGATATACAAGCACAAGATTCTGTGAGATTCATAAGGACAGAATGAGGGGAGGAGACAGAGAGACAAAGGGAAAGTAGAGGACAGGGCTTGAGAGAAGGAGCAACAACTGGCTTAGCTTGGGATTTGTGGGTCCAGATCTTCCTTGCTCTTAGGCAACTGACTCAAGTCTACACCGTGTGTGTATTCTCAATATATCATCATAGAGACATCAGCAAGTTGCTTTAATTTTCTCATGAGATCATTTCAGATGTGCACCCTGGGCTAGCTAAGTATACTCAGAGGAGCCAGGAAGGTTTGGGTACAACATTTGAGCATCTTAATAGAAACATTGCATGTATACTATTCAAAATAGAAAATAGTTTAGTTCCTGTGTGCTTTACCAAGTGATGTTTCTCATGCCCGCTCACATGTAACTCTGCAGGCTTTCTCTATGCCGAGAATGGTGCCATTCATTTCCTTGACCCTCTTTATTACTGACAGATACTGAGGACATCCCCTCAGTACCAATCAGCCATTGCTGCTTATTATTACACCGCAAGATTTGCTGTGATTCTGTTTCTTCCTCTCAAAAGCTACGTGGTGTTTTGGTTTCGGTTTTTCTTGTGAGCAGCACTATGATGTCATCCATACAGAAACTTGAGGCACTTTTTTATGGCTTTGGGCATAGTGGACATTGTGAAGGGTGAGGTTGTTGGATCAAAGCCTGTAATACTTTATAGTTTAAATGGCCAGCTCTTTCCAATTCATGCCACAAAAATATGGTCTTGCTTGTTTCCTTCCTTAATGAGGGAGCTCTATAGGAGGCAGTGCTGGAGGCCCAAGGACAACACTTCTTCTGTTCCACTGGGTCTTTGAAAGGGCACTGGTTGGGTTGCTGCACCCCCATGCCTCCTAGTAACTTTACAAGATAATGCTGATTCATGGGAATTCTTCCAATAAAAGGGAACCCACGAAGCCCAAGAATGTTTGCTTTATGTGATAGAATTATTATTATAATGAATCGCAGTTCTCATATTCAGTAAGCTCTGTTGATGGCGTGTGAATATCCTGAATCCATGCTTTTTGAAATGGAAGTAGTTTTGTAGAAGACAGGGCACAGGATGCTGCCCTTTGATTCAGGGCACTAAGCTGCACCTGCTTAATCACGCTTTATTTTAAAATAAGAGAGAGCTCTGAGTTTCCAGCTCTTCAGTCTGAATTGCAATTTCTCTTCATTATTAAAATCCTTGAATAAATGTATTTTGTGGGTTTTATTATTTTTCACACCCCATTACATTTTCTCAAAAGAGTTTCTCTGTTCGTATAATGACATTGCTTAAATGGGCTAAAACTCTCCAGAAGAAAGCTTTATGTAAATGTCTATAATAATAATTAAATCAAACTGTCTAGTGTGGTACTAAAGGAAAAAAATGGGATTATTATTTTTAGGTGTTCTCAGAGAGCTAGTCTTCTCAGTAGCGTGATACTCTGAAACAAGCGAGAGGATTTCCCATTCGTCCCAAACTAAAGAGCAATAATCTAGACATCATTCCCAGCAAATGCAATTTAAGATGAAGAAAAACACTTAAGCAAAAAATGCAGTTTCTTATCTGCAGTGTTGGGAGGTAATTGTTTTAAAAATGAGCTTATTTTATTCTCAATAGAGATTGTACAAAATGCCATTTTGAAATCAGAATAGGGGAAAATAAGATATATGCGAATTTAAGCATCTTGGATAATCATGTACAAAGCAGTAAGTTAGGATCGCATAATGAAGGCCAATGGACACCAGAGTGCACACTGGAGCCTGAAGCCACAGCGCCTCCATCCCTGGTGCACGGGACTCTCCATGCATGTCTCATGTACATATGAGGCTCTGTGTTTCTGTACATGTTTGCAGACTTTAATAGTTACAGATCAAGAAGTAAATGACTCTGGCCTAAGGGTGGGGCAGGAAGCAATTCTCTTTTTCCCATTTAGACATGGTTCCTTCCAATGGAGTAAAGTTTAAGAGCATCTTCTTTGATGCAAAAAAAAAAAAAAACAAAAAACAAAAAACAAAAACAAAAAAAACTGGCTTCAAGTTAAAAAATATTTTCACAGTAAAATATAGGCAAAGAAATTTCTTTTAAAAATTGTCGCTGGGCTTGATGTTGCTAAGAATGGAGCTGCATCCACTTTGGATGCATCCACTTTGGATGCAGCTAGCAAACTACTTGTTGAGCAGAATGGCAGATGTAGCCCCTTCCTTCCTTCCTTCCTTCCTTCCTTCCTTCCTTCCTGCCTTCCTGCCTTCCTGCCTTCCTGCCTTCCTTCCTTCCTTTCTATGTAATCACTGCTCTGATGCATAAAATATTTTATTACTGAAATACAAAGTCAGCATAAACAGAGAGCTGAGTTTGTGGTTCTCTGAAGATGGAAAAAGTCCTATGATAGGCGGGACCTTGGGGAAGTGGTGAGGTATACAAGTTCATCAAGGTAAACCCCCATGACTGAACACCGATGGCTTTATAAGATGTTGGGCCAGAGGTTGCACCCATGTGCTCCCCGACTCTTGTCATGGGATGCCCTATAACACCTTAAGACTTCTCTACAAAGAGGGCTTGTCTTGTTCAACTCTCAATTTTGGGTTTGTGGACTGTGAACTACAAAAGAATCTCTTTTCTTTGCAATGTACCCATGTGTCCCTGTGTTATTAGTCACATAACTGGAAAGGTGAGTGTGGTGGGGATGTTGATAAGAAACTACTTGAATATGTGTGCACAGATTCAGAACTGACATACTTGAAAAGTTGAGAATGTTTGGAGAAGTCCAGAATACCCCAGGATGGTCCAGTAAGGACACAAAAGACAGGAACACGTGGGCACATGTCACAGACATGTGATGTAAGGCATAAGATGGAGACACTTATCACACTGGCCCTTTCTTGCCACAAGATAACCTGAACAGCTTCAGGACCTTTGCTAGTAAGAAGGTCATCACCAGATTTGAACCCTTGACTCTGTTGCTCTGAGTCAAAGTAAACCTTTTTTCATTAATACTTACCTAGTCTGTGGTATTGTATGACAGTGGATAATACAAGTGATTATTCATGAAATATAACTGTTTGAATAGCCATGTCCATTATATATATGTGTGTGTATTATGCATAATATTTCCATATGAAGTAAAGAAGGATGGAATTTTCATCAACTATTTATTATTAAAATGATGAATTATTTATTATAGCAAGTATAAATTTGACTACTTTGTAGTTCCTCACCTTATATAGAACAAAGCCAGTTATGCTAGTTCAGAAAAGTAAATTCTAGAGGATAATGTTTGGTTATATTTTTGTTTGTTATAATAAAGAAAAGACAAGGAAAAAACACTAAGATAAAAACTTAAAATTTTAAGAGTGGAAACTTCTGATTTGGCCGATTCTGGTCACAGCTTAGGAGGTTTCCCTCAAGCCCTCGCAGATAACCCTTACTCTATTTCAGATTTCTCATTAGTCTCTGTGTGCGTGTGTGTGTGTGTGTGTGTGTGTGTGTGTGTGTTTAAATATGTGTTTATGCTTATTCTGTGTGTGGGCGTTTTGCCTGCATGTGTATGTGTGCCATATGCATGTTTGGTCAAAAAGGGGGTGTCAGTTTCCCTAGAACTGAGGTTACAGGCAGTTCTGAGACATCATGTGGGTGCCAGAAACTGTCCCTGCAGGAACACACGATACTCTTAACCTCTGATCCATAGCTTTGGCCCCATTCCGAGGTCTTGAACAATAGTTTCTTTATTACGCAGGGTTTCTTTCTAAACTCTTGCGGAATGCTCTACATCTCTTCTTTCTCTCAGATCTTTTTTGCTCTGCTACTCTCACGCAGAATATATGGTAATAGCTTCCACTGGGTGGGTCTACTGAGATGAAGAGTACTAGCTCATGGGTAAATGAAACTTTCTCATCCAGATGGTAACATCCAGGACCCACAGACGTGACGTCTGCTTTCTTTACTGGATGTTTTAAAATAATAAAATCATTTAAATAAAAAGCACAAGAAGACTTAGGAATCAACTTAAATTCCTTTTCTCTTCTCTGAAAATTCTCTAATCTATACTTCTAAATAATATTCCTTGCCACTTACGCTTTTAGGATTATTTCAAAGATGTTGATTGTGGAAATGTTAGGTAACACACAGAAATATATTGTACCCAGTGAGACAGAGGGCCTCGAGTAGTTTTTCTTTTTTCCTAGTCTATTCAAGCCTACTGAGCTGGCTTCTGGCTTTTATAGTTTATTGTAT